GGGGGGGGGGGTCACATTAAGACTCAGGAGTGCGTGTGCGTGTCTGGCTGCTCGTCCTTGGCCAAAAAGCCAGGTCTGGGGAGGTACAAAGTTCAGTTGCATCGGGGGCGGCTGCAGACGGGAGGTAAAAATGCTCCTTTTCTTGGCTTTTTTGGATGGGAAAGGACCCCCCCCATCCCAAATAAAAGACAAGCTTGCAAAAGAGTCCAGCCTGGATGTGCCTGGAAGTCTGTGCCACCAGGCTGGGGTGGAAGCCTTCTCTGCCTGCGTGTCGGGGACGGCAGCCTTCTCTGCCTGGGGGCTGGATGTCACAGGACCCTCCTCAAGAAGCAGGGCTGGAAGAGACCTCCAGAGGCCACATCTGGTCCAACCCCCTGCCCCAAAGCAGGATCAGCCCCGTCCAAACCATCCGTCGCTCATGTCCGTCTCGTCCGGTCCCCTGCCCGACCCGTAACCCACGTCCACCCAGTCCCGAGGCAGGATCGGCCCCGTCCGAGCCATCCCAGACAGCCCATCGCTCGTGTCCATCCCGGTCTGGCGGCTGGGAGGAAGCCGAGAGGGAGACAGCGCCAGGGATCTATGTACAGGGGTGCAGGGCGGGTGGGGAAGAGCCTCGCCCCCGGCGCAGGGGAGCCTCACATGAAGAAGTCAGCGGAGGTTTTCCCCGGGGCGGTGGCGGGCGAGGGCTCGCGGGGGAAGGCGCGGCCGGCCAGCTTCTCGTACTTCTCCTTGTAGAGGTCCCTCTCCTTGGCCAGGCGGGCGATCTCCTGCTTGAGCTGCTCCACCTGGCCCTGGAGCTGGCACTTCTCGTTCTCCAGGATGTGCCGCTGCTGCACCCGCTTGTAGCGGCAGGACTGGGCATAGCCGCGGTTCTTCAGCGTGCGCCGCTTCTGCTTGAGGCGGATCACCTCCTCCTTGGAGAAGCCGCGCAGCTGCCGGTTCAGCTCCCGCACCGACATGCTCACCAGCTGGTCGTCCGAGAAGCGGTCCTCCAGCCGCAGGTGGTGCGCGTGGTGGTGGTGGTGCGCGTGGTGGTGGTGCCCTGAGGGCGGCATCTCCTCGGCCCCGAAGGCCTGCGCCCGGAAGCCCTCGTAGCCCGGCTGGTGGTGGTGGTGGTGATGGTGGTGGTGGGGGGCGCCGATGAGTGCCTCCACGGCATCCTCCGGGGTCAGGTTGAGCGCCTCGGGGTTCAGGTGATGCTGGTAGTTGGACATCCAGTACAGGTCCTCCAGCTGGGGCTTGCTGGCGGCCGCGCCGGCCCCGCCGGGAGCCACCCCCGCCTGCGCGCCGGGGCTGGGGGCGCAGAAGCTGGGCGAGGAAGGCACGGAGGAGCAGGGCGTGCTGATGGGCGTGGAGGACAGCGAGCCGGGCGGCAGGCGGTGGCAGAAGCGCTCGGCTTCGGGCGGCTCCTTCTTCACCTCGAACTTCATCAGGTCGAAGTCGTTGACATACTCGATGGCCAGGGGGCTGGTGGGCAGCTCCGCGCTCATGGCCAGCTCGGA